CGGGGGCACCGGCTAGTTGAGGTAGTTGAGGTAATATGTACATGTGGGTAGAGTTAAAGTGACTATGCATAAATACTTAACAGAGTAGCAGCAGCGCAAAAAGGATGGGGTGGGGGGGCAGTGCAAATAGTCCGGGTAGCCATGATTAGCTGTTCAGGAGTCTTATGGCTTGGGGGTAGAAGCTGTTGAGAAGTATTTTGGACCTAGACTTGGCACTCCGGTACCGCTTGCCGTGCGGTAGCAGAGAGAACAGTCTATGACTAGGGTGGCTGGAGTCTTTGACAATTTTGAGGGCCTTCCTCTGACACCGCCTGGTATAGAGGTCCTGGATGGCAGGAAGCTTTGCCCCAGTGATGTACTGGGCCGTACGCACTACCCTCTGTAGTGCCTTGCGGTCGGAGGCCAAGCAGTTGCCATACCAGGCGGTGATGCAACCAGTCAGGATGCTCTCGATGGTGCAGCTGTAGAATTTTTTGAGGATCTGAGGACCCATGCCAAATCTTTTTAGTCTCCTGAGGGGGAATAGGCTTTGTCGTGCCCTCTTCACGACTGTCTTGGTGTGTTTGGACCATGATAGTTCGTTGGTGATGTGGACACCAAGGAACTTGAAGCTCTCAACCTGTTCCACTACAGCCCCGTCGATGAGAATGGGGGCATGCTCAGTCCTATTTTTTTTCCTGTAGTCCACAATCATCTCCTTTGTCTTGGTCACGTTGAGGGAGAGGTTGTTGTCCTGGCACCACACGGCCAGATCTCTGACCTCCTCCCTATAGGCTGTCTCATCGTTGTCGGTGATCAGGCCTACCACTGTTGTGTCGTCGGCAAACTTAATGATGGTGTTGGAGTCGTGCCTGGCCATGCAGTCATGGGTGAACAGAGAGTACAGGAGGGGACTGAGCACGCACCCCTGAGGGGCCCCCGTGTTGAGGATCAGTGTGGCAGATGTGTTGTTACCTACCCTTACCACCTGGGGGCGGCCCGTCAGGAAGTCCAGGATCCAGTTGCAGAGGGAGGTGTTTAGTCCCAGGATCCTTAGCTTAGTGATTAGCTTAGAGGGCACTATGGTGTTGAATGCTGAGCTGTAGTCAATGAATAGCATTCTCACGTAGGTGTTCCTCTTGTCCAGGTGGGAAAGGGCAGTGTGGAGTGCGATAGAGATTGCATCATCTGTGGATCTGTTGGGGCGGTATGCAAATTGGAGTGGGTCTAGGGTTTCTGGGATAATGCTGTTGATGTGAGCCATGACCAGCCTTTCAAAGCACTTCATGGCTACAGACGTCAGTGCTACGGGTCGGTAGTCATTTAGGCAGGTTATCTTAGAGTCCTTGGGCACGGGGACTATGGTGGTCTGCTTGAAACATGTTGGTATTACAGACTCAGTCAGGGACATGTTGAAAATGTCAGTGAAGACACTTGCCAGTTGGTCAGCACATGCTCGGAGTACACGTCCTGGTAATCCGTCTGGCCCTGCGGCCTTGTGAATGTTGACCTGCTTAAAAGTCTTACTCACATCGGCTACGGAGAGCGTGATCACATAGTCATCCGGAACAGCTGGTGCTCTCATGCATGCTTCAGTGTTGCTTGCCTCGAAGCGAGCATAGAAGTGGTTTAGCTCGTCTGGTAGGCTTGTGTCACTGGGAAGCTCGCGGCTGTGCTTCCCTTTGTAGTCTGTAATAGTTTTCAAGCCCTGCCACATCCGACGAGCGTCAGAGCCAGTGTAGTATGATTCAATCTTAGACCTGTATTGACTCTTTGCCTGTTTGATGGTTCGTCGGAGGTCATAGCGGGATTTCTTATAAGCGTCCGGGTTAGAGTCCCGTTCCTTGAAAGCGGCAGCTCTACCCTTTAGCTCAGTGCGGATGTTTCCTGAAATCCATGGCTTCTGGTTGGGGTATGTACGTACGGTCACTGTGGGGACGACATCATCGATGCACTTATTGATGAAGCCAGTGACTGATGTGGTGTACTCCTCAATGCTGTCTGAAGAATCCCAGAACATGTTCCAGTCTGTGCTAGCAAAACAGTCCTGTAGCTTAGCATCTGCGTCATCTGACCACTTTTTTATTAACCGAGTCACTGGTGCTTCCTGCTTTAGTTTTTGCTTATAAGCAGGAATCAGGAGGATAGAGTTATGGTCAGATTTGCCAAATGGAGGGCGAGGGAGAGCTTTGTATGCGTCTCTGTGTGTGGAGTAAAGGTGGTCTAGAGTTTTTTTCCCTCTGGTTACACATTTAACATGCTGGTAGAAATTAGGTAGAACGGATTTAAGTTTCCCTGCATTAAAGTCCCCGGCCACTAGGAGCGCTGCATCTGGATGAGCGTTTTCCTGTTGATTAATGGCCTTGTACAACTCATTCAGTGCAATCTTAATGCCAGCATTGGTTTGTGGTGGTAAATAGACAGCTATGAAAAGGTAAATAGTGTGGTCTACAGCTATCTTGGTAAATAGTGTGGTCTACAGCTTATCATAAGATACTCTACCTCAGGCGAGCAAAACCTCGAGACTTCCTTAGTATTTGATTTTGTGCACCAGCTGTTGTTTACAAATATACACAGACCGCCACCCCTTGTCTTACCGGAGTCGGCCGTTCTGTCCTGCCGATGTAGCGTATAGCCTGCTAGCTGAATGTTATCATTGTTGTCGTTCAGCCACGACTCCGTGAAACATAAGATATTACAGTTTTTAATGTCCCGTTGGTAGGATATGTTGTTCGAACGTGTGAGTATTCCGGTTGAAATGTATGTTTTTGTTTTTCAAATTATGCATTTGGAGTTCTATATCATGGGAACATGTCTGGTAATCAGTAAAAAATATATTTTGCATTATCTCTGTCTTAAACTAAATTAGCCTACCAATCATTGCATATTCGAGGATATAATGTTGTCATGTGCAGAGTTCATTCAGACTGCTCAAATAGATTATTAAGATTTTCCAGGAAAGCTTAACCACACACGGTATCTGTAGGATCTCAGTATCATCTTATGTACACTATGTTGAAATAAATCACTATTAATTGATTGGTTTCATCATTGATTGGTCAGAGGAGTGAGTCTACTCTCCTGGTTTCTCAGGCCCTGACCAGTGGCTGAGTGAGAGATAACTGGCAGCAGACAGACAGACAGCGCTCCTAGAGGAGTTGGCTGGCCAGCCCTGATATAATCACTGTGTGGACATGGACACAAAGCCAATAGGTTCAAGGCTAGTGCCAGAGAAGCAGCCAACATGATGCCATTCAGCCTCAAACAGTATATCTCTACCTGACCTTGAGCGGTACAAGCAGGGGCGCACATTTGGTTTTAGAAGTGGGGGGGACATTATTATTTTATTTTTTATCCAGTCAGATAAACACTGCAAACACCCTACCCGACTGCTCGGAAGCGTCCGCATGGTCCTAAAGCACACCGTTGCTTCGTTTTGTATCACATTCCAATGATAAAACTGGGGGGGGGACAAAGCGAGGCAACGGTGTGCTGGCAGAATTGTGTAGTCTGATTGTTCACACGGACAAAGTAAAGAAGTCCATTCTATAGGCTTTCCAAGGCCTCTCCATGCCATGGCAATCCATTTACTGCGCTGTACCTCAGAATTGTGCGTTCCTGATACACATGAAATGCACAAACATTATGCTGGTGTGTAATTCCACAGTTGAATGTCACACAGCTGTTCTTCTCAGCTCCCAAGCCTACGTCGACGGTCTTAGTTGAAAACCTACTTAGTATATGTACTATATTTATATCAGGCAGTCGTTATGGCAAAGAACAAAGTTCTTTTTTTTGGTCAATGATCAGTGTGTTAAAAACGTTAGATTCATAACACCCTTTGAAACCTCAAAAGCGTATACTTCTATCTATTAACATTTTACTCGGACCACATCTTTTCATTCGCAGAGAAGGGACTCTGTAGTCTCTCATCCACTGTTGCTGTGTTGACTATTTTGTCATCTTTTTCAATGAACACAATAAGAGGATGCTGCTCAATGCATGCTGCAACTAGCCAAATCATTCCCTTGAACCTTTTTCAAACTGAAATGTCAGAATTGGTGTTAAGGATGTAAGCTCCTCTAAGACGATTAAAGCTGCTTCATTCATTGGGATTGGAGAGTGTTGGAGAAACGGGACAGCCAGCAGCATGCGATCTGGAATCTGCATTGCGTTATGAGCTCTAGAGTCTCCCAACTTGCAGTGCAAATCTCATCAGATAATACCCAGACATTTCATTAAATGAATTGGCTATATTATCATGCAGCACACATCTCTGTGGGGAGAAGGGGGCTGATGACGGGGATAAAAGTAGTCGCATGCTCCTCACTCAACCATGGAGCCAGACTGTTCACCACAACAATGTGATGAGAGAACGAATAGACTGCTGCTGCAATCTGGTACTCCTTAATGGGGGCTCTGATTCAAAACAGTCTTTGTCTCGCTGCTCTTTGAAGGATTTTAGTACATAATACACTATTTTTGAACAAACATGCTTCAGACTCTAATGTTGTCTAATGTAGGGTTTCCCAAACTCAGTCCTGGGTCCCCCCTGGGTGCACGTTTTGGTTTTTGCCCTAGCACTACACAGCTGATTCAAATAAGCAACTAATCATCAAGCTTTGATTATTTGAATCAGCTGTGTAGTGCTAGGGCAAAAACCAAGGACCGAGTTTGGGAAACCCTGGTCTAATATGGCTACAATATATGTGTATTGTCCAATAAGGAATGAATGAGAGTGTTAAGATGACATACAGCATTTCATTATCTTCCTTTAAAGGTAGTTCAGTAATAATATACCTATATGATTGTCATAAACAGCCTGTGTCACATGACTGGTCTCTTCCATAATGACCAAGTCTGATGAATGTAATTTCAAGCTCATAATAGTCATAATAATCACATCTACTCTATGACAACCTTGTTTAGACATCTAACTCAACATTCAAACAAAGTGTTACTGCTGTTTCTTTGATACTGAGCTGTGCAGTAATGAATTGTCTCTCCTTTACCTTCAACAGGGATTGCAGTGGACAAGCAAGGATTCGTCTACTTTGTTGATGGAACCATGATTCGCAAGATCAATGGGAAAGGAATGATATCAACTGTCATTGGTTCCAACGGCTTGATGTCCACTCAGCCGTTAAGCTGTGACGCCCGCATGGATATTTCACAGGTGAGATGGCTAGACGGCCCATACACACACACACACACACACACACACACACACACACACACACACACAGCTAGGAATGTCAGGTTTTCCAAGCCCAACGTTTCCATAGAGCAGTACTGGTAGACTTAACAGACAGAATGGTATTTCAAAAGCTATTCCATACCCCTTATCTAAGATGTATATCCTCATTTAGTTCCAAGGATCTTATCATGCAACAATTCCCTTTTAACCTATATGCAGTCATCTATAAGTAACACAGTTAAGTCATCAATAAGTAACATAGTAAAGTAATCTATAAGTAACACAGTTAAGTCATCAATAACTAACACAGTTAAGTCATCAATAAGTCACATGTAACAAAGTTAAGTCATCAATCAGTCATCAAAGCATTAAAACTGATATTAGTGATCAGCAATTAGACTTTAACGTCCAAGAGGTTTAAAAAATAAAAAGACAGATCTTATATCTATCTGACCTATAAAAATGGAGAGGCCTGATATCGAGGACATTTCCTTTGAGACGTTCCCGCCATGATTAACTGGCCTCAGCGGCTGAATGCTCCCTCTCAATGGTGAATTATATTCTTGCTTCTGTCCCTGCTCTCACGGGCAGCTGAGGCCCAGACCGGCACGGGATGCACCCTGACTCAGAGAGCAATTATTCTCAGCCCCCCGGACCTTGCCATAGGAAACCACCTTATTAAGTTCTCACCAAAAGTTGTAAAAATGCTGAGGCTGGCTAACCTTCAGAGAGGACTGCAGAGATATGCCCTACAGTCACGCTCTCTCTACAGACTCTCTCTCTTTATCTCTCTACCCCTCTCCCTCTACACTCTTAGGAAAAAGGGTTCCAGAAGGATTCTTCAGCTGTCCCCATAGGAGAACCCTTTTTGTTTCCAGGTAAATCCCTTTTGGGTTTCATGTAGAACCCTCTGTGGAAAGGGTTCTACATGGAACTGAAAAGGGTTCTACCTGGAACCAAAAGGGTTCTTCTTAGAACCAAAACAAGTTCTTCAAAGGGTTCTCCTATGGGGACATCCAAAGAACCCTTTTAGGTTCTAGATAGCACCTTCTTTTCTAAGAGTGTACCACTCTCTCTCTGCCTTTCTCTATCTCTCTCTCTACTCTTTCTCTAATCTTTCTCTATCTCTCTCTCTACTCTTTCTCTATCTCTCTCTTTACTCTTTCTCTATCTCTCTCTCTACTCTTTCTCTCTTTAATCTTTCTCTATCTCTCTCTCTACTCTTTCTCTATCACTCTCTCTACTCTTTCTCTATCTCTCTCTCTACTCTTTCTCTATCTCTCTCTCTACTCTTTCTCTCTTTAATCTTTCTCTATCTCTCTCTCTACTCTTTCTCTATCGCTCTCTCTACTCTTTCTCTATCTCTCTTCTTCACAGCAACACAGCACATTGACCCACATCTGAGTGGGTTGCACAGCTCTGAAAGGGAACAGGGAAATTAACTGCTGTGCCCCCATAAGGGCTTATCACATAAGAAGCGCGCAATTCTCCTCTTATGACCAGATTTACTCCTGTAGAATGATTATCCATGCGCATCACTGGGCTGGATCACGTGCTGATGAACCCATTAAAACGCTCATGAAAAGCGACATAACTATATTAGATCATAATGGGTGTGGGTTTCCTCCAGAGCATTTGCATGTTCTGAGGCTGAGATTGTGACGCTGTAGAGAGAGGCAACAGGGACATTGCATACTGTACCGTCTCAATTAAACCTTCATATAGGAGGATACTGTATGCTTGTGAGAAAGAAACCCTATTTTGCATCACAATAAGCCGGTCATTGACACTCCCTATTATTCCCATAGACATTTGACATTTGAGAAGCAGCATAACGAAGCATTAAATTAAATGCTTGAAATTCGGAGGATATCTTGCATACAGATATTCTTTTTACTGTCCATGTTTCAGGCTTTGCGTTCCTGTCTTTCATTTTCTGACAATTCCTTTTGTTGGTTTTCTGAATGAGGCCTTTTATGCTGATGTATTATGCAGTGGAGTGATTTCAAGCAACTTCATCCTCAAGATGCTAATTTGCAAGTTGACTCTCTCCCTCCTCCTCGGGTATCTCACATGCAAAGCTTGATGTTCTACTGTAATACAATCAGATGTCCAAACTATCAGACCACGGCCTCTAATCACAGTAATGGCCAGTATTGCAGTGTGTTGGCCATTTTGAATATGATGTGTAGTGGTGGTTTATATATAGGTTTGGCAATGGTATTCCCTTTTCTCCAGAATTATCCATGCATATTTGTTGTGTGTGTGTAAAGCCTAAGGCCTCTCAGCATGCACAGCCCAACAAACAATTTAAACTGTGTCCCCAGATTGGACCAAAGCTGATTTCTGTGCAGGAGGCAAATTAGAGTTATTTAGTTGTTGAATCACACTGGAAGAGAAACACTGTCTCATCTCAAGAGCAATGTGTTTCTCCCCCAAGCCATTCTGAAAACAATAGAAGGCTGGAGAGATCTAAGAAACAAAGGGAGTCCAATACTCCAGGCTTTTACGGTGCAATAAGGTATAGCTCTCTGGTTCCAATCCCCTAGCAAATGAGACCCCTGCAAGTGAATAATAAAGCACTTTATTTATAAGTGTTAGGAGAGAGTTGTATTGAGTCACTGCAAACAGATTAGCATTGTGTGGGTACAAAGTTAATTTAAATAATGGAAAAGTTCAGTGATAGCATATTATATGTGACAGAGCCTATCACACCATTCCAGATTTTCAGGCAAACAAAATGCAAGCATATCACAGTTTTTAAGTGGAGCAGGTTGCATTGATTTTGCTTTTTCAAACGCAGGAGAGAAAAATGCATGATGTCAATTAGCGTTCTTTTTGGGGGGGAGGGGGTCTGTTTTTCGACACTGAGCTGCCAGGCTTCTCTCACAACACAGATGTGCTTTGAAACGATGGCTGCAGTGGGAAAACTCACCTCCAATTTGAATGCGTGGATACTATGCTGTCAGTATATTTTGTTACCAGTGTAGAGAAGTGTCTAATTATTCCTGAACGGATTCCTTTCATTCACGCACAATTGACTTGCATTTATACAACCCCTTTCATCAGATCATCTCAGAGTGCTTGAAGGTGAGATGGCAACTAATTTTATCCTCCACCAATCTGAATCATTCACCTCTATTTTGCAGGAACACTTACCACCCATTATTTCTGGTGGAAGAATGGTTTTTCATGATCCGATTAAACACAGGGGTGATTATATGGGCACATTTCTTTATTAGGACTGTCCGGCACCCTTAAGGATCCCACTCACACTTAGTGAACTGTACCATGGAGCTTTTTATTTCAAATGTGTGTCCTTAGCTGAGTCTCAGGGGAACACAGTGTGAGCACATGTACAAAAATGACCTTACAGTTACATTACCACTTGTACAATTATACAATAGTCACATGCTATTATATGGCATTCACAATATGTCCTCTTTTTCAAATTGCCTACTTGACATTGCTGAATGTATGACACTGACAGACTATGCCCAAGAATTCTACACAGTGTACAGTGCCTTCAGAAAGAGCTCACACCCCTAGACTTTTTCCACATTTTGTTGTGTTACAGCCTGAATTTTAAATGGATTAAATTGTCACTGGCCTACACACAATACCCCATAATGCCAAAGTGGAATTATGCTTTTCGAAATGTTTGCAAAATAATTTAAAAAATGAAAAATAAGTATTCCCTTTGTTATGGCAAGCCTAAATAACAAGTCACATTCTCACTCTGTGTGCAATAATAGTGTTTAACATGATTTTTGAATGACTACCTCATCTCTGTACCCCACACATACAATTATCCGTAAGACCAGGGATGTTTTCCAATGCCTTGAAAAGAAGGGCACCTATTGGTAAATGGGTAAAATAAAAAAAAAGCAGACATTGAATATCCCTTTGAGCATGGTGACGTTATTAATTACACTTTGGATGGTGTATCAATACACCCAGTCACTACAAAGATACAAGCATCCTTCCTAACTCAGTTGCCGGAGAGGAAAGAAACCGCTAAGGGATTTCACAATGAGGCCAATGGTGACTTTAAAAAGGTTGCAGAATTTAATGACTGTGATAGGAGTTAACTGAGGATGGCTTAACAACATTGTAGTTACTCAACAATACTAACCTAATTGACAGAGTGAAACGAAGGTAGCCTGTATAAAATAAAAATATTCCAAAACATGCATCCTGTTTGCAACAAGGCATTAAAGTAATACTGTAAAAAATGTGGCAAAGCAATGAACTTTTTGTCCTGAATACAAAGCATTATGTTTGGGGCAAATCCAATGCAACACATTACTGAGTACCACTCTCCATATTTTTAAGCCTAGTGGTGGCTGTATCATGTTATGGGTATGCTTGTAATCGTTAAGGACTGGGGAGTTTTTCGGGATAAAAATGAAAAGGAATGGAGCTAAGCACAGGCAAAATCCTAGAGGAAAACCTGGTTCAGTCTGCTTTCCACCAGACACTGGGAGATTAATTCACCTTTCAGCAGGACAATAACCTAAAACACAAGGCCAAATCTACACTGGAGTTGGTTACCAAGAAGACAGTGAATGTTCCTGAGTGGCCGAGTTACAGTTTTGACTTAAATCTGCTTACAAGTCTATGGCAAGACCTGGAAATGGTTGTATAGCAATGACCAACAACCAATTTGACAGTTTGAAGAATTTTGAAAGAATAATGGGCAAATGTTGCACAATCCAGGTGTGGAAAGCTCTTAGAGACTTAGAGACCCAGAAAAACTCACAGCTGTAATCGCTGCCAAAGGTGATTCTAACATGTATTGACTCAGGGGGTTGAATACTTATCTAATCAAGATTTTTATAAATATTTTACAAATTTTAGAATTTTTCTTCCACGTCGACATTACAGAGTATTTTGTGTAGATCGTTGACAAAAATGGACAATTAAATCAATTTTAACCTCACTTTGTAACACAACAAAATGTGGAAAAAGTAAAGGTGTGTGAATACTTTCTGAAAGCACTGTATGTGCTATTCTTACTACTTGTTTTACATAACATTGCATATTCATTACAATATAATGCAATTTAGATAATCAAAGACAGTGGAAAAACTGTAAAGGAAATGTTTCAGGAGAAACTTTGTGGCACTCATCTATTTACGCTTGTTAAACTGTGTTTTCCCTGCTCTAGGTTCGTCTAGAATGGCCCACCTACCTGGCTGTCAACCCCATGGACAACTCCCTGTACATTCTGGACAACAACATAGTGATCCAGGTGTCAGAGAGTAGCCAGGTGAGGATCGTGGCGGGCCGGCCCATCCACTGCCAGGTCCCTGGGATCGACCACTACCTGGTCAGCAAGGCAGCCGTCCACTCCACCCTGGAGGCAGCCAAGGCCATCGCAGTTTCCCACCAGGGCACACTCTACATCGCCGAGACGGACGAGAGGAAGATCAACCGCATCCAGCAGGTCACCACGAACGGGGAGATTTCTGTGGTGGCCGGGGCACCCACAGAGTGTGACTGCAAGATCGACCCCAACTGTGACTGCTTCTCCGGTGGGTCCCCTGCTGTGAACGCCATCATGCCTCAGACTAACTTCAGCAGTCTATCAGAGGCCTGCGGAGAGGCTCTCTGGATGGACATGCTCTGAAGCAATGATTTGGAACTATTGTAACCCGCCCGCATGATGTTTATGGTTGCATCAGTCTAGCTTGACAAAACAAACACACTTTAATGTGTGAAATGGCTCATTAGAGGGCTGGGATGAACAGCAAGTTTATTTTCCTTTCAGTCAACACTCCTCAGTTTGTCTACGATGTTGTATTATTCATATCAATTTTATTTGACATCGCAACTTGTCAAACACCACATTATTATTCAGTAAAGTATAAATACATAAATAGTTTTTCAATGTATTCTACCTTAGCTGGTTGAGTGTTCAATCTCTGCATTGTCCTGTTCCCACAGGCGATGGTGGATATGCCCGTGATGCCAAACTGAAGGCTCCGTCCTCCCTGGCTGTTTCCCCTAACGGGACTCTGTACATCTCAGACCTGGGGAACATCCGTATCAGGGCCCTGTCCCCCAACAGGCCCCAGCTCAACCAGAACAGCATGTATGAGATCATCTCTGTGGTGGACCAGGAGCTCTATCTGTTCAGTGTCAACGGCACCCACCTCCACACCCGCAGCCTGGTCACCGGGGACTACATCTATAACTTCACCTACTCAGGAGAGGGAGATGTGAGTGCCGTGGTCTCCAGCGACGACACCGCGGTCCACGTGCGCCGTGATGCCAACGGCGTGCCCCTCTGGCTGCTGGTGCCCGGGGGTCAGGTATATTGGCTCACTATCAGCAACGGGGGCGTCCTAAAGAAAGTCTCCGCCCTGGCGCATGACCTAGCGCAGATCAGCTACCATGGCAACTCAGGTCTCCTGGCAACCATGAGCAATGAGATTGCCTGGACAACGGTCTATGAGTGAGTATCCCGCAGCACTCCTTCCTGTCTGTCTATTGACGTCAATGACAATTATGCTTAAGAATATACTCTATTAGCACCCTTCATATCATAGCCGTAGTCTTGTTCCTGTCTGCCTCTATGTGATGCTGTAAGAGCTTCACCACCTACACTCCCATTATACAGTAACATTTTGCTGCAGTATTGCAGTTTTTCAGAGAGAGTTTGGAATGTGTGAAATTTGAAAGGTATATAAATTAGATTGTCAGAAAAAAGGAAATATAAATGGATTTTCTAATAGAAGATTATTTCCTAAATTATGTTTTTCTCTAATTGGGGCAATTCCACAGGCTGGCCTGCGGAAATTATCTTCTTTTTGTTGGTGAATCAAAGCCTGAAAGAGAAGTGGGAATAGTGTGATTATATAAAATGTTTGCGTAGGCATTTTGAGGGATTTGTTCAGGGGCGCTTTGGGTTGAAAATGTGTTCGGATGTCAGGGGCAAAGAATCCTTTTCACTGCGTCTTTATATTCCTCCCTTTAATTTAGTTTGATCGGCAATACAACCTCCCCTTTATTGTGTCCCTGTGAAAAAGCCTAAATCCACTCAAACTCCATTCTTACATTGTCCTCAGTGTCCTGCGGTGACTGCTGTTGGAGGTCATACCTCATTGGCTCCTTTGTTCCAGCAGCATTGTTATACTGTCACCCAGTGGTGAAACTAGGAAACTACAGGAAGGCGCTCAGCTCCTTCCAAAATGGGAATATTCTGGAATCCACTGAAACATTTACCATTTTACTATACAAGCTTGTCACAATATTTTAAGACCCACACTTCAGACATTGGTAGGATGTTATATGACTGGGTGTGTCCTTGACCAGGTATAATTCTGATGGTCATCTCATCAATGTCACCTTGCCAACGGGAGAGGTCAGCAGTTTCCACGGCAATATGGAGAAATCAGTGCGGGTGGAAGCAGACACTTCAAATCGGGAGAAATTCATCACAGCCACAAACTTCTCTGCTGCCAGCACTATCTATACATTACGCCAAGGTAGTAGTAAGGTTTCCAATCAGTTTCTCATCTCTTCGTTTTTTTCATTATCATGCCGCGCTGTCACTGGGGAGAGGCCATGTGAAGTCAGGGATGTCACCAGCAATGATGAAGCAAATGCATTCCTCTCTATATCTAAGTAATTTCGGTCTCCTTAACACATTGTTCACATTCATGTCTTTACGAGGTGAACAATTTTAATGACGGCCCAACAGCTATTTTATAGAGCATTTAAATAAAAATTAGATGACAGGTCTGACAAAGGTGTGAAGAGTTGGTGAGGAAGTAAACACTTTCCTATAAACAGCAAAGAAGAGAGAAGTAAGAGAGCTGCTGAGAGCTGAGTTTAAATCATGTCACATAATTTCCTTTCACACGGTCACACCTCTGTTCTCACATAGACACACAAGTGTGGTTTGTAGAAATACAGTGACTCAAGGGGATACCAATGTAATGTCACATGGCACCTGCAATAATATACGATTCTGTTATCTCTTCAATAAAAGCGGTGGATAACATTAATCCTGCCTTTTATTGAAGAGATAACACAGTGGTATTACTGCAATCCATATGCATATTCAACAGTCAGTCTGTAATTATAATACTTTTCCCCCTGACTGCTGCCATATAGAGTATGTGCCTACAGTTGAACCAGTCTTCTGTCGCAGTATGAGTTGGCTGTCCCTGTTGTAATACTGCATAAATTAATCTCGCTCTCACTCACTCACTCTCTCTCTGTTACTCTGTCCCATGTCCCCACACAGAGCATGCTCAAAACACATACCGTGTGAGTTCGGACGGCTCTCTGTGGGTGACGTTTGCCAGCGGCATGGAGGTGACCCTGAACACGGAACCCCACATCTCGGCGGGCGTGGTCAACCCCACAGTGGGCAAGTGTAACATCACCCTGCCGGGCGAGCATGCTCACAGCGTCATCGAGTGGAGACAGAGAAGAGACCAGGCTAAAGGGAACTACACGGCCTACGAACGCAGGCTCAGGGTAAGGAAGAGACAGAATGGACAGTGTGAGCACAATACCCCTCACCATATGTTGTGTGTGGGAGGAATGTTACAGTACAACAGACCTATTGTCTCCCTACGGGAGTTTCATGACTCTTCCATAAGACTGTAGGTCATGGTAAATGGAAGATATACAGTGCTTTCAGAAAGTATTCATACCCCTTGACTTATTCAATATTTTGTTGCGTTACAGCCTGAATTCAAAATGTATTAAAATAGATTTATTTTCTCACCCATCTACACACAATGCCCCATAATGACAAAGTGAAAACAAATTTTTGCAAATCTATTGCAAATGAAATACAGAAATATCTAATTTACATAAGTATTCACATCCCTGAGTCAATACTTTGTAGGAGCACATTTGGGAGTGATTACAGCTGTGAGTCTTTCTGGGTAAGTCTCTAAGAGCTTTGTATACCTGGATTGTACAATATTTGCACATGATTATTTTTACAATTCTTCAAGCTCTGTCAAGTTGGTTGTTGATCATTGCTAGACAGCCATTTAAGTCTTGGTATAGATTTTGAAGCCGATTTAAGTCAAAACTTTAACTAGGCCACTCAGGAACATTCAATGTCATCATGGTACGCAACTCCAGTGTATATTTGTCCTGCTGAAAGGTGAATTTGGAAAGCAGACTGAACCAGGCTTTCCTCTATGATTTTTCCTGTGCTTAGCTCTATTCCGTTTGTCTTTTTATCCTAAAAAACTCCCTAGTCCTTGCCGATGACAAGCATACCCATATCATGATGCAGCCACCACCATGCTTGAAAATATGAAGAGTGGTACTCAGTGATGTGTTGTTTTGGATTTGCCCCAAACATAATGCTTTGTATTCAGGGCATAAAGTTCATTTATTTGCCACAATTTTTGCAGTTTTACTTTAGTGCCTTGTTGCAAACAGGATGCATGTTTTGGCATATTTTTCTTCTGTACAGGCTTCCTGCGTTTCACTCTGTCAATTAGGTTAGTATTGTGGAGTAACTATAATGTTGTTGATCCATTCCTCAGTTTTCTCCAATCACAGCCAATAAACCCTGTAACTCTTTTAAAGTCACCATTGGCCTCTTGGTGAAATCCCTGAGCGGTTTCTTCCTCTCCGGCAACTGAGTTAGGAAGGATGCCTGTATCTTTGTTGTGACTGGGTGTATTGATACACCATGCAAAGTGTAATTAATAGCTTCAGCATGCAAAAAAATTAAATAATAATGCTCAAAGGGATATACAATGTCAGCTTTATTTAGATTTTTACCAATCTACCAATAGGTGCCCTTCTTTGCGAAGCATTGAAAAACCTGGTCTTTGTGTTGAATCTGTGGTTGAAATTCACTGCTCGACTGAGGGACCTTACAGATAATTGTATGTGTGGGGTACAGAGATGAGGTAATCATTCCAAAATAATGTTAAACACTATTATTGCACAACAGAGTGAGTCCATGCAACGTATTACTTCTGAACTTATTTAGGCTTGCCATAACAAAGGGGTTCAATACTTATTGACTGAAGACATTTCAGCCTTTCATTTGTAATTAATTTGTAAAAATTTCAAAAAACATCATTCCACTTTGACATTATGGGGTATTGTGTGTAAGAAAATGACAGAAAAATACATTTAATCAATTTTAAATTCAGGCTGTAACCCAACAAAATGTGAAAATGGTCAAAAGTTTTGAGAATGACACAAATACTAATTTTCACAAAGTCTGCTGCCTCAGTTTTGATGATGTTAATTAATTGCAAAGTCCCTCTTTGCCATGAAAATGAACTTAATCCCCCAAAAACATTTCCACTGCATTTCAGCCCTGCCACAAAAGGACCAGCTGCCATCATGTCAGTGATTCTCTCGTTAACACAGGTGATAGTGTTGACGAGGACAAGGCTGGAGATCACTCTGTCATGCTGATTGAGTTAGAATAACAAACTGGAAGCTTTAAAAGGAGGGTGGTGCTTGAAATCATTGCCCTTCCTCTGTTAACCATGGTTACCTGCAAGGAAACACGTGCCATCATCATTGCTTTGCACAAAGGGCTTCACAGGCAAGGATATTGCTGCTAGTAAGATTGCACCTAAATCAACCATTTATCGGATCATCAAGAACTTCAAAGAGAGAGGTTCAATTGTTGTGAAGAAGGCATCAGGGCGCCCAAGAAAGCGCCAGGACCGTCTCCTAAAGTTGATTCAGCTGCGGGATCGGGGCACCACCAGTGCAGAACTTGCTCAGGAATGGCAGCAGGCAGGTGTGAGTGCATCTGCACACACAGTGAGGCGAAGATTTTTGTAGGATGGCCTGGTGTCAAGAAGGGCAGCAAAGAAGCCACTTCTCTCCAGGAAAAACATCAGGGACAGACTGATATTGTGCAAAAGGTACAGGGATTGGACTGCTGAGGACTGGGGTAAAGTCATTTTCTCTGATGAATCCCCTTTCCGATTGTTTGGGGCATCCGTAAAACACCTTGTCCGGAGAAGACAAGGTGAGCGCTACCATCAGTCCTGTGTCATGCCAACAGTAAAGCATCCTGAGACCATTCATGTGTGGGATTGCTTCTCATCCAAGGGAGTGGGCTCACTCACAATTTTGCCTAAGAACACAGCCATGAATAAAGAATGGTACCAACACATCCTCCGAGAGCAACTTCTCCCAACCATCCAAGAACAGTTTGGTGACGACCAATGCCTTTTCCAGCATGATGGAGCACCTTTCCATAAGGCAAAAGTGATAACTAAGTGGCTCGGGGAACAAAACATCGACATTTTGGGTCCATGGCCAGGAAACTCCCCAGACCTTAATCCCATTGAGAACTTGTGGTCGATCCTCAAGAGGCGGGTGGACAAACAAAAACCCACAAATTCTGACAAACTCCAAGCATTGATTATGCAAGAATGGGCTGCCATCAGTCAGGATGTGGCCCAGAAGTGAATTGACAGCATGCCAGGGCGGGTTGCAGAGGTCTTGAAAAAGAAGGGTCAACACTGCAAATATTGACTCTTTGCATAAACTAAATGTAATTGTCAATAAAAGCCTTTGACACTTATGGAATGCTTGTAAACAAATGGAAAACAAATCTGGATAAGAGCGTCTGATAAATGACTAAAATGGCGATGTAATTATACTTCAGTATACCATAGTAACATCTGACAAAAATATCTCATAACACTGAAACAGCAAACTTTGTGAAGACCAATACTTGTGTCATTCTCAAAACTTTTGACCACGACTGTAGACATGACTTGCTCAAATATTATGGATCCCTAGAACTTTTTAGTGGAATATTTTTAGATTCAGACAGTGAAATTGGGAAATCAATTGTAACCCAGACTTCATAGAAAGGATGATAATGAGGGAAAGAGGGTGCAGAATGTTTGACTTATTCCTCCTACCAATTAGGATGAAATGAAATAAAGCATTTAGGGCCCATTTCTTTGAGCTGAGGCAGAAAGGGAACATTCAGCTCCATTACTGCCTGTCTGAATCGCTATTTCTAGTGATAGTGAAAACGCTAATTTACCATCACACTAAAGTCTTTAAAAGCCCTGTGTCGAATCAGCATCACAGATTTGTTTTTGAAACATATGACTCTTATCTCTGGGGATATAACCATTTTCCAGTCAACAGATCTAGTTGTGTTACTCGGAGGAACAACTGTACCCCTCACTCACCTATCATTCTTGTCTCTCACCATCCCCAGGCTCACAACAGAAATGTGCTGTCCATAGACTTTAACCAAGCCACACGAGTAGGCAAGATCTATGACGACCACCGCAAGTTCACCCTGCGTATCCTCTATGACCAGATGGGTCGTCCCATCATTTGGTCTCCCAGCAGCAAGTACAATGAGGTGAATGTGACCTACTCTCCAGCGGGCCTGGTGACCAGCATCCAGAGGGGCAACTGGTCAGAGAAACTGGAGTATGAGAATGGGAGGGTGGTCTCCAGGACATGGACCAATGGGAAGATATGGAGCTACACTTTCCTGGAGAAGGTATTCAGTTATTTGCTAGACGTGATTGATCCAGAACAAATTGTTTTTTTCTCTATATGGACATGAATTAAGTGGCAGTCTGTAGTTCAGAGTATTAATCTACTTCTGTTTGTGTGTTCTGCAGTCGGTCATGCTGCTGTTGCACAGCCAGCGGCGGTACACCTTTGAGTATGACCACACAGACTACCTGATGTCTGTGACCATGCCTAGTATGGTGCGTCACAGCCTGCAGTCCATGCTGTCAGTGGGTTACTACAGGAACACCTACAGCCCTCCAGACAGCAGCGGAGCCTCTGTGATCCAGGACTACAGCCATGATGGCCGCCTGCTCCAGACTTTGTACCTGGGCACGGGCCGCCGTATCCTCTACCGCTACACCCACCAGTCCCGCCTGGCAGAGATCCTGTACGACACCACCCTGGTCACCTACACCTACGAAGAGGCCTCCGGGGGGGTGAAGACCATCCACCTCATGAACCAGGGCTTCATGTGCACCATCCGCTACAGACAGACAGGTACCACAATACAGACCAACCTTCTAGCTAACTGGATGGGGAATAGCATTTACTGACTATACAAACAAAGACAAGCCGGTTAAACTTCAGTAATAAAGACCCTCACAAAACAACAAGATGATGATAAGATAGATTCAAAGTTAATGGCATGCAATAAAGGAGCTTATTGATTTTTATAATGGAATGTATTATGACAGGTTAATGTAAGAAATAAAACCACAAATGGTTGTGCCTCTGCAGGAGTTTAAGACAATAAGCCATATAAACTATATTAGATGAGGAGGCATACCTGAAGATGATCCTTTATTGTGAGCTTTAATCACTATAAGAAATTCTGATAATGCTTTATGTCAGACTAGACTTAAAGTTTGCCATATAAGTCTGCTTTGAGAGATTGAGTATACCACCATGAAATACACTATTAGCACCTCTTGTAATATATCCTCTGGCATATGGCCCCAATAATTAACCCATGAGAATTATATATCCTATTCATTCTACCAAATGTAAATCTATTTTTGGGAGCTAAATCCATGGATGTCCCCAGAACTCAGTAGGGATTTGAAATCCCTATAAAGCCAATGTGGAATGGCACACTGATTATATAAGGCACCAAATCAGAACCCATTCTGAAGAGATGGAGATTGGGAGTGCTGTTGTGCAATGATGAGCAATTTCCTCTGCTTCACAGACTTTTATTCTGTCTTTTTTAGACATGCATGTCTCGCTGTTGGGGGTCACCAGACTCTGCCGGTCTCTCCCAGACTCCATGCTAGGCCCCCTACACAAATCCACCTCAATTTCCTCCTAACGAATTGACATGAACATGTTCTTAATAGCATCCCAGGTCCTCCACTGGCTGGCCACAATAAGTCTGATTTGAAGCTGAAATAAGCAATCAGGGGCAGCAGAGAGAGAGGGATGGTGTTAGATGACAGCATGGATAAGAATCCTTGAGAATATATAGCCTGGCTGGTTGATTTGGCTGGCTCAATGATGAGCCTGGATATATTGCTAGAAAGGGCAGCTTTCATTCTTAGTTCATTTTTATTTTCCTACATTTACAGGCTGGTTTTGATATGGTGTTCACCAAAAGTATGTGGATACCCCTTCAAATTAGTGGATTCGGCTATTTCAGCCACACCCGTTGCTGACAGGTGTATAAAATCGAGCACACAGCCATGCAATCTCCATAGACAGTATAATGGCCTGTACTGAAGAGCTCAGTGACTTTCAACGTGGCACCGTCATAGGATGCCACCTTTCCAACAAGTCAGTTCGTAAAATTTCTGCCCAGCTAGAGCTGCCCCGGTCAACTGTAAGTGCTGTTATTGTGAAGTGGAAACCTCTAGGAGCAACAACGGCTCAGCCGCGAAGTGGTAGGCCACACAAGCTCACAGAACGGGACCGCCAAGTGCTGAAGCACGTAGCACGTAAAAATCGTCTGTCCTCGGTTGCAACACTCACTACCGAGTTCCAAACTACCTCTGGATGAAACATCAGTCAGCACAATAATTGTTTGTCGGGAGCTTGCCAAGCGTCGGCTGGAGTGGTGTAAAGCTTGCCGCCATTGGACTCTGGAGCAGTGGAAACGCGTTCTCTGGAGTGATGAATCACGCTTCACCATCTGGCTGTCCCACGGACAAATCTAGGTTTGGCGGATGCCAGGAGAACGCTACCTGCCCCAATGCATAGTGCCAACTGTAAAGTTTGGTGCAGGAGGAATAATGGTCTGGGGCTGTTTTTCATGGTTGGGGCTAGGCCCCTTAGTTCCAGTGAAGACAAATCTTAACGCTACAGCATACAATGACATTCTAGACGATTCTGTGCTTCCAACTTTGTGGCAACAGTTTGGGGAAGGCCCTTTCCTGTTTCAGCATGACAATGCCCAATGCCCCCGTGCACAAAGTGAGGTCCATACAGAAATGGTTTGTCAAGATCGGTGTGGAAGAACTTGACTGGCCTGCACAGAGCCCAGACCTCAACCCCATTGAACACCTTTGGGATGAATTGGAATGCTGACTGTGAGCCAGGCCTAATCGCACCACATCAGTGCCCGACCGCACAAATGCTTGTGGCTGAATGGAAGCAATTCCCTGCAGCAATGTTCCAACATCTAGTGGAAAGCCTTCCCAGAAGAGTGGAGGCTGTTATAGCAGCAAAGGGGGAACTAACTTCATATTATTGCCCATGATTTTGGAATGAGATGTTTGACGATCAGGTGTCCACATACTTATGGTCATGTGGTGTATGTATACCTTCATTAAAACAAATTGCTTATATTTCAACTACTTTGATATTATATATATTACACACTTTATCACTTCAGTAGTGTAGATGACAAATGAATTAACCTTTTGCACACCTACACTAAGTATCATACTGTAGGCCAGTTCTTTTAGTGGGTTCTCTGCCTTTTTGCTCTGTGAGTTCCTGAGCAGGTTTGAGGGCAAATTAAGGTATTGAGCGTGTTGTTAGAGGCCTTTACAGAGCTGACTGGGAGAATGAATAAACCCACATGAATTAACTGCCATTCAATTGCTTTGCCATTCAATCTGCAATTTCAAGCATGACAGGTCAACAGCCTCCAATTTAATTTGCAGTCACATAATACTATCACAATGTAATATTCATCTCCTAAGGACAGAAGTAATTAAAATGTATTTCAATCTGCTTTAGTTAGTTCAGTCTAGGCAGTCATACAAATACTATGTGTAACCCATATGGGTGTGAACAAAGCAGTTTGATAACCTGGATTAGTATTAGTAGTCTTCAGGCATCTCTGCTCTGCTATTGATGATAGGTATGGCTTCAAACTTTGAAGAGCTGCTAGAGTCATGAACATGTATTTTATAATAACTCAGATATGAAGTTTAATTTATGCCTGACTTGTTTTTTAAAGGATAATTAAATGATGATTATTCTCCCAAATGTTTAGACATTTCTATCCAAATCTAACTTTCATTATCAAATTATTCTCCCCACAGGTCCTCTGGTTGGGAGACAGATCTACAGGTTTAGTGTGGAGGGCCTGGTGAATGCCAGATTTGACTACAGCTATAATAACTTCCGGGTCACCAGTATGCAGGCCATGATCAATGAAACCCCTCTTCCCATTGACCTTTACCGTTATGTTGATGTATCGGGAAGGATTGAACAGTTTGGGAAATTCAGTGTCATAAACTATGACCTCAATCAAGTGATCACTACACACATCATGAAGCACACTAAGATATTTAATGCCAACGGACAAGTGATCGAGGTCCAGTACGAGATCCTGAAGTCTATTGCCTACTGGATGACAGTGCAGTATGACAACATGGGCCGCATCACTATCTGTGACATCAGGATTGGTGTGGATAACAACATCACACGCTACTCATACGAGTATGATGCTGATAGTCAGCTCCAGGCTGTGTCGGTGAATGATAGGCCACAGTGGCGCTATAGTTACGACCTCAACGGCAACATTAATTTACTGAGTCATGGCAACAGTGCCAGACTAACGCCGCTACGCTACGACTTACGAGACCGCATAACAAGACTCGGAGAAATTCAATACAAAATGGATGAAGATGGCTTTCTTCGCCTGCGGGGCAATGTCATGTTTGATTACAACTCCAATGGGCTGCTTGCCAAAGCATTTGACAAAGTGTCAGAGAGGAGTGTTCACTACCGCTATGATGGCCTGGGCAGGCGGGTGGCCAGCAGGACCAGTGACGGCCAGCAGCTGCAGTTCTTCTATGCTGACCTGACCAAACCCACCAGGGTGACCCACATGTACAACCACTCCAGCTCTGAGATCACCTCGCTCTACTACGACCTGCAGGGACACCTGATCGCCATGGAGCTGAGCAGTGGGGAGGAGTACTACGTAGCCTGTGATAACTCTGGCACGCCACTGGCCATCTTCAGCAGCCAAGGACACATAGTCAAGGAGATGCTCTACACCCCTTACGGAGACATCTACCAAGACTCAAACCCCTCCTTTCAGCTGATCATCGGGTTCCAGGGCGGTCTCAATGACGCGCTGACCAAGCTGGTCCACCTGGGGAGAAGGGACTATGATGTTGTGGCTGGGAGGTGGACCACTCCCAACCATAACCTGTGGACGGAGCTCAGCATCAACCCCAAGCCTTTCAACCTCTACTCCTTCAAAAACAACTACCCTGTTGCAGAGTTACAGGATGTCACCAAGTTCACTACAGGTAAGACTAATGTTGATGAGATCCACTATATGTTTCTTAGGAGATATAGACAGATATTTAAACAGGACTTTCAATTGTGTTGCATGACAAAAGCTCAAATCCAATGCCCTGTCATTGACTCCTCGATACCTTCTGTCTCCAGACATCAGCAGTTGGTTGCAACTGTTTGGGTTCCAGCTCCACAACGTTGTCCCTGGTTACCCCAAGCCGGAGGTGGAGAGCATGGAGCAAACCTACGAAATGATGAAGACTCAAACCAAGACACAAGACTGGGACCCTAGCAAGGTGAGCTAAACCTAGACTAGGCCCAGTCTGACAGAGCCTAATCTCCAGCCATGTATGGTCCTTAGATATTAGATGACCTCAAAATCCTTATTATCATTAGATAACCATCCCATGTGTTTTTGTCTGACAGGTTCTGTTGGGTATCCAGTGTGAGCTGCAGAAACACCTAAAGAACTTCATCTCTCTGGACCGGCTGCCTATGAGTAAGGTGAGTGGTCAGCTGGGAGCGTGGCATGGCCGGAGGCCCCGCTTCTCTGCCATCTCCTCCATCTTTGGTAAGGGTGTCAAGTTCGCCATCAGAGATAATGTTGTCACCACCGAAATCATTGGTGTTGCAAGCGAGGACAGCCGGCGTGTGGCAGCAGTCCTAAACCACGCGCTCTACCTCTCCGGCCTGCACTTCACTGTGGACGGTCTGGACACTCACTACTTCGTCAAGCCCGGCCTGCTGGAGGGGGACCTGGGAGTGGTTGGCCACACCGGAGCGGGTCGCGTCCTGGAGAACGGCGTCAACGTGACCGTGTCCCAGATGACGACGGTGGTGGATGGGAGGACTAGGCGCTTCGCTGACATCCAGATGCAGCATGGGACTCTGTGTTTCAACATCCGCTACGGGGCCACAGAGGAGGAGGAGAGGGAGCATGTGCTGGAGGTGGCCCGGCAGAGGGCGGTGGAGCAGGCCTGGGTCATCGAGCAGAGGAGGCTGGAGGAAGGAGAGGAGGGCTCGAGGCTCTGGACAGAGGGGGAGAGGCAGCAGCTGCTCTCCACTGGACATGTTCCCGGCTACGACGGCTACTTCGTCCTCCCCGTGGAGCAGTACCTGGAGCTCTCGGACAGTGCCAACAACATTCACTTCATGAGGCAAAGTGAAATAGGGAGGAGGTAACAGCGGCATCGTGCTTCACTACTGCCGTGGGTTCCCCTTCACCAAAGACAGTCTGTTTTTAGACATACAATGATTTGTTGTACCGTTTTTTCTAGAATGATGAGGATAAATATACAAAAAAAAGACAACTGCCTTTAAGTGACAAATGATGGTATTTTGTTTCACCTGTGTTCTGATTGTTTTGTTTCTTCTGAGAATGAGTTGATCATTTGAAACTCTTGACTGTCTTTCATTTTGGAGTTACTTGGCTAGTTTATGTACTTTGACCTACTTTGTAAGCTGTTAGATATGCTGAATCTGAGATGACAGACTCCGTATCAAGTTCATTACCATATAATTAATCTTTATACATACTGTATCTATAACAGTGTAGTGAATTGCTCTCATTTCAGTTTATACAGTGCATATCTGTCTGCGATATCTTGAGAAATGGTAGTGACAGCTACTGTCTTCTTTTGTGACTATGAGACTCACCGGCATCGGGAATTTTGCTGCTTTCTGCGTATTTGAAGTTCTGGTGGTACAATGGAGTAGATTGTGTGGGTTTAGACACGACATTGTATATAGCGAGTGCTTTAGCGAGATACAAGTGCTTAACTTAATAATGTGTTGTTACTGATTATTAATCGTTAATCCTATCAATAGAATTGATCACTGGAGTTACACAGAGCAACAGGAAAAAGTATTCATGCTGAAAACCTGTACAGTACAGTTTACTTTTTTACAAATTGCTTATTGTAAAATATAATGTATTATCTGGATGGAGCTTGTGCCTTTCTGCTCTTAAAAAAACTTTGAAGGATGACAATTTAAACAAAACATCTCCTTCCATACCATGAAAAGTGTTATTATTTATGTACTGGACTAGAATCCTTATGGAGTGGAGCTTGCAGGGCAGACTATAGTGCCCTATACAAAGTGCTAAATCATAGTGTAAATGTTGCAGAAAACCTCATATTGTAATTCACAGATATTACATTAATTGTACCTTAATTATTCTGATGCCATTACAAGGCACTCTTTACCAGTCCCTGATCAGTTATATCTGAGCTAGCAAGTCAATTGGCAGACAGTAAGTCTCTGCCGCAAAAACATCATGAATTAGTTGTGTGAGAATTGTACTGAAACGATGATACGTTTGTAAAAAACGTCCATACATGTAGGAAAAGGCGCACTTACAGTTTATCAAGTGGGTAGTATAGACTTTACATATCAGGAGTGAGAAATCAGAACAGGGTGAAAAGCAGAAAGAGACGAGAATAAATTCACAGTGGGTAGCTTACAACAGCCTGACTGACTGTACTAGTTACGGGTCAAATGTAGTGAATGTGGTGGAGGATTTTTCAAAGAGAAATGCACACATTGAGTAGCTGTTTCAAACTGATAAAACGGGCTGGTGTTTTAATATTTACACAACATGTATTTTGTCTGTGCTTAATTTACTACAACAAAGTCACATTGTCTTTCAGCATTAGTCATTCTTCTGTGAAAAGATTGCAAGTATGCTGTATGCCCCGGTATCTAGTATTCCACAAACAATTTGAGGAAATTCGATGTGCATAAGATTACACCATCTTCACAACAGCTAAAATATTTTGAATGCAGCCCCAATTAAACAAGCCTTAGTTAATCAATAGTTTACTCAGTCCTTTGAAACATCTAAGAATCCTCATTATTTCCTATTTCCAAAGGCAAACTTTCAAGTCTGGGATGATATTGAATTATTTATTATTTATACATTTTTGTCTCAGAGTATGACATGTTTAGGGCTGAAGATTTAAAAAGTAAAAGGTTGTTCAGTCATCCACCCTCACGCATTACCCATACCCACAATTTGGTTGTATTGTTAAGTATTTTTTATAATTGGGATGTGTATGGTTTGTGTGCTGACAATTGTTTTCCATGCTTCTCATACAGAAATGAAACATTTAGCACTGTGGAAAAGGCTGAACCAAAAGCATGGAGTACGAAGCCAAACACCCTATATTCTGGTAATCACATTAATACTGTCCAGTTCATCAAAAATATAATTCTGTGCAACCTTATCTGTTGTTTTTTTACTTTAATTCTCATTGGGTTGTATTGCAAAAATGAATTGTATAAAACATAGGCTATATGGTATACTATATAACATAAATTATTTTGGGTAAATTAATTGATAGTACTCCATATAATTAATAATGCTCTGCCCATTGGTGTTCATATTGATGATACTGTCTCAGTTGGGTAACTGAGTCTGAGAGCGAAGACGCTGTGATTGCCAAGATACAGTTGTGTTGTACAGGATACTGTGTAGACTGATGGTATGAAAACACTGATATCGCTTGACTGCATTTTCTACTCTGGGCTTTGACCAAGAGGCATGTCTTTTCTGCAAGTGCTCCAGGAAGTGGGTGTAAATAATGAGAAGAAGTTAATATATTGGGTGTGGAAAGTTCATATTCAAAACAAGGTACTTTGAAGGTTTGACTTTTAATAAATAAATGTGCAAATTCTTTATCCTTATGTTTTGATGTTGTTTCTTTCATTGTATTATGAAATACAATGAGCGTATCGGTCGTTTAAATTGATAGCTGTACCATGAAAATAATGAAAACACATGATTGAAACAGAGATTAGTGAATCGTTTCACCGTTATATATATATATATATATATATATATATATATATATATATATATATATATATATATATATATATATTATTGTCAAAGTTTGTATCTTTGAAGAGGAGCCACTATCTCATAGTGTGTTGGTTTTCCACAGGGTAGAGGAGGGGCATTACCAAAGGCCGCTATCAGATTCCTTATCGTCCTGAATAATCGTGTCTGTACTCCACACACTCCGTCTGAAACACAGAAACGCCTTATCTGTTCATTCAGGTCAAGTCAGGATAGTTTGCTATTTCCAAAATAACAATGAGGTTGTCACTAATTCCACATTACCGTTTTATAATTTTGTATGTACTGTAGCGTTTTGAGGACATACCTCCTAAGGGATGAGCTTTCTATAATTGGAATGTAAGAAATGTGTGTGAATGTACAGTATATTTTTGTAATTCATGTGTACCCATGTGGTAATCTATGGCCAACCAATGGATATTGATAACATGTCTGTTATTTATCTTTTCTCACCTCAACTGTTCATGAGCCCTCCTTGATTTGGAACACTGTAGGTGTAGACATCTTTCCATCTTTCAGTGAAAATAGCATTTCAATTACAGCATTTCAATGCAGTGATTTTTTGTGTAATCGTACAGTATAGTACATTACAGTCCAGTATTTATGGATTCAAATTAAATGGAACAACCCGTCTGTATGAGCATGAATCAGAAAGATGGAAACACAGGTGTGTATTTGTCATACAAATAGTAATGTCATATCATCCATCTGTTGTTTTCATTCTGTAAAGTTGTTATCCACCACCTTGCTGAGAAATTATGCGTTTCCATCACAACAGCATTGATGCAAATGTGAATTTATAGCTAAAGTCAATCAAAATGGCAATAACTAAACCTTCATGTTTCAAATATTTATGGATTATGGTCACATGGTGTTAGGCCAAAAACCTACGATGGATCAACAATACTGTTCAAGTACTCACAGAACACATAGGCAGTAGGTATTGGCCACACTCTCACTGTCTCGGAGTAGATCGCTCCCATCTCTCCCCACTGCACCCAGGATCCTCTCAGTAGTGGCCTTGCTGATAGCCCCATGGTAAACGGACACATGCTCTATCACACTGAAGCCTGCTGTCACTATGAATGAGTAGCACTGGCACACACTCGTTATGGTAGTATTTATGGTACGGTAGCATCTACAGGAAATCATATCATATCCTAAGAGGAAAGAAAAGGTCACACATAGGCCTACAGATGTAGGATCTTAATTTGAGCCAGTTTCCTACAGCAGGAAAATTATCCTGCAGCAACAGGAAATGTTAATTAAATGGATTCTAATTAATGAAAATAAAATTGTAGGGGTTGATACATATACATTCGTAACGGAAAATCAAGTCTGAAATTTCAAAGTGGAAATTAAACTTCAGAAGACTTTATAAACCTCCAATATCTCCAATACACTGCAAGTTCTCATGCAACAGGGTGATCAAATTAAGATCCTACATCTGTACTCTCTGGTCATTAAGGAAACACTGCAGGAAACAGTATTTAAGTACAGTACCAGTATTTACATTGATTTGTTTTTCACTTTTATGTTCATTGTAATGTTCAGACCATATTACTTGATAATATGATGGGTCTGGATGAGTTTTAATAACTAAAACTACAATTTGAAGTAGAAACTATGCAATTATCAATCAGAGAGAATTCCTTTGCACCTGCGCTTCTCAAACCCAGCCACAGAGTGGCAGTAAAACTGCCTATATCAATGCTTGTTACTCAGTGTATGTCCTTGTCTCTATTACGGTTGCAAACAGAAATGTCAGGAGAAAAAAACTGCAAGTTTTGATTGTATGACAAACAATCCAATGCATGTTCAAATTGCTACAATGTGAAGCAAACAAGACTCTTGACTTTCCCATGTTCAACTTGAGCATGGCCTTAACTGAATGGATGTTTTGTTTTCACACCAAGAAGACAGCCAGACAGTAATGGCATTATTAATTATTCTATTATATCAAATGAAGAGTGACTGGAAAACATATCATTCATAGCGTATCCTGATAAGGGTTGTACATTTGACCCAATACAATGTTAATTATGTGGTCCTCTGTAGCTCAGCTGGTAGAGCACGGCGCTTGTAACGCCAAGGTAGTGGGTTCGATCCCCGGGACCACCCATACACAAACATGTATGCACGCATGACTGTAAGTCGCTTTGGATAAAAGCGTCTGCTAAATGGCATATTATAATTATGGTTCAAGAGACACAGTTTACAGTAGATGTTTGCATGTACCTTTTCTTGCCATTTAGAAGGCGCTGTGTTGACATATTTTTTTACTTATATACAATAAAAACAACATACACATATCACATTATTGTAACTAGGACAAAGGCACATACACTGTAGTTGTATATTTCACACACTTATTATCACACTGGCCTGTGGATCTCAGAAAACATGACAGGTTTACCCAGCACATATTCTGTAGATTTTGTGATATAATATCCCTTCACCCTAACATGAGCTTGGTGGCATGGGATGTGAAACTGACATTTAAATATATGTTGATATGCCCTCTGTCCAGCCTACAGGGTGTCCCTAATTAGGAGTAGATAGAGGGGTCAACGTCCCCTGGAGACTAGGCCTGGGGGTCATCCAAGATGCCTGGGGTCAACTGTTACACATCTGACAGACAGGCCTCTCATAGTCCTGCCATGTAACCTCCCTCCACTAGGGGCCCCTACTGTGTTGGTCCAGAGTCTCCAGTTGCCCCGTGTCCTTGAGGTCGCTGAGCTTCCTGGAGAAGGAGCTGAGCCTGGTGCTGATGGAGTCTCTCTTCTGGGACAGCCTGGGAGCCTTCTCCTCGTACAGCCGCCACAGCTGCTCCCGAAAGTGGTTCCCAACAAAGCAGTAGAGGAAGGGGTTGATGGCGCTGTTGGAGAAGCCCAGGCAGAGGGTGAAGGGCATCAGGGTGATGATGGCCTGGCGCACCCAACAGCTGTGCATCACCCCCAGGGTGCTCAGGATGTCCAGGAAGGTGAGTATGTGGAAGGGGAACCAGCAGACGAAGAAGGCCAGCACCACAGCCACCACCATCTTCATCACGCGGTCCAGGTTGCTGGAGCTCTTGTCCAGGCTGGACTGTTCCCCCAGGAGGTGCTTCCCGATGCGGCAGTAGCAGCTGGCGATGACGGTGAAGGGCACCAGGAAGGCCAGGATGTTCTTGGTCAGGGCCAGGCCTGGGAACCAGTAGGGTGGGCAGATGAGGACACAGGCCGTGACCCCCAGCTCCTCCAGGTGGTAGGTGTCTCTGAAGGCCATGGTGGGGATGGTCATGAGGCCAGCGATGGTCCAGATCACACAGCTGACCACTCGCGCCCGACACAGGTTCCTGCTGCACTGAGACTGGAGGGGATAGACAATGGCTCTGTAGCGGTCCACACTCATACAGGTGATGAAGTAGATGCTGGCGTAGACGTTCAGGGAGAGGAGGCAGCCACACAGCTTACACATCAGCCCACCAAACACCCAGTTGTAGTCAAAGGAGTAGTAGACTGCCCAGAAAGGCAGGCTGATCAGGAACAACAGATCTGAGATGGCCAAGTTTACAATGTAAGTGTTGGCCACTGTTTTACGGTTGGACTTTTGACACAATACGAACACCACCAAGACATTGCCCACGAAACCAAGGACAAAGATGACACTGTAGATGGTGGGGATCAGCTTGTTCTGATGCAGAGAGGGGGAGATGGAATCACATGGAGAAGAATTGATCATTAGATCTTCTGACGAGTTGGTGGCCATTGAGAGGTTAGAGAGTGTTGTTGCCATGGGTACTCTGTGTCCGTGATTGCTTTTACACCTAACTCCCACTAAGGCCTGTAAGAAGAAAAGAAAATCAGCAACATTTTTTAATTAGAGAACAAAATCAAATATCTGTAACCTAAAATACACACCCTAGTTGCAATAAGTCAGTAACTAAAACACAATGAGAAAGTTGTTTTGGCAAGCATGGTAAGAAATTGCTCAATGTTAGTAGACACATGCCAAATCTTTTAGTGATAAAAATATGTAAAATAATCTTATTATAGAGTGTTATTCTGTCATTTTCTAGCCCCTCTAACAGCAGATGTAAGAATCCCCAATCACTTTTCATTGTCATTTTGTCCTGAACCTAACAGAAAAAGAAATACATTTGTAGGGCCCATTTGGGACTTCCTATTTGGACTGCGTTGTTTTGAGAATATGTATTGGATAGTCCTCCTCTGTGCAGGCTCCAGGCTGGAGTCCATCTGGATAGTGTTATATAGGAGGAGACAGAGGGGAACATGTGGTTGGTTGTTTTAGAGGGCTCTGGGAGTTCTGGGGTTGGCCATATTCACCTCTCCAGGGTCCCTTTGCATAAGAAACTCCCCTACATGCGGTAGTCTATGCCAGTGGTTCCCAAACTGTGGCCCCAAAAAACTTGTATTTTTGTTGAGGAACTCAGTCCGGCTTTAAACTTACTCTTGAAAGTTGTAATACTAGAATGCACAAGGTGCAATTTCGAAATTGGGTAGTGCATCATTAGTTCCTCTTGTCATGTTAGTCATTGTATACCTTAGAGAGCTATTTATAACTTGTCAAATGTCCAGATCAACTAGCCCATGTCAGCTAACGTTGTTTTATTTAGGTTTTTTAGCCCATAGATATTGTAATTTTTTTGTCACTCAAATATCACATGAATACACATTAGACATGCCAAAATGTATAGAATTGCACGACAATTTGCTTTAAAACGGCTAAATTGTCTTTGCACCGCATTACAAAATGTGTAGAATTGCAGGAAATAAGCTTTAAACCTGCAAAATTCTACACATGTGAACAGTTTGTGTCATGAACGTGCGCGCGGGGGGGGAGGGGGGATGTTCCCCAATGCTGGAAGGGGGTCCCCAAGTCAAAAAGATTAGGAACCCCTGGTCTAAGCAACCAGCAGCACATGCAGTATAGCAAAGTAATGAGCGTTGCATAGCATGGTAACTGGCTGGCTGCTGCGATCCCTCAGGAGATCTTTTAAGATCTTCCTTATTATAAAAAAAAACATTTTGTGTTTGAAAATGTAATAAAAGTAGAGACACATTAATGATAAGGTGGATTGGATGGATTTTCATTACCTTGATTCTATCTCAAGGTATTGTACATGTAATATATTCATATACTGAGTGTACAAGACATTAGGAACACCTTCCTAATATTGAGTTAGACCCCCTTTTGCCCTCAGAAAAGCTTCAATTCAGGGCATGGACTCTACAAGGTGTCGAAAGCGTTCCACAGGGATGCTGGCCCATGTTGACTCCAATGCTTCCCACAGTTGTGTCAAGTTGGCTGGATGTCCTTTGGGTGATGGACCGTTCTTGATACACACGGAAAACTGTTGAGTGTGAAAAACCCAGCAGTGTTGCAGTTCTTGACGCACTCAAACCAGTGCGCCTGGCACCTACTACCATACCCTGTTCAAAAGGCACTTAAATATTTTGTCTTGCCCATTTACCCTCTGAATGGCCCACATACACAATCCATGTCCCCAAAAAAACATTATTTAACCTGTGTCCTCCCCTTCATTGAAGTGGATTTAACAGGTGACATCAATAAGGGGTCATAGCTTTCACCTGGATTCACCTGGTCAGTCTGTGTCATGGAAAGAGCAGGTGTTCCTAATGTTTAGCGCACTCAGTGTATATTGAAACTAATATAATTGGAGGAGGTTCTGTAGCTACAATTTATCACCAAATATAAATAATTAGTCACCTTGGGTATAGAAAATCTAATACTTTTAGTGTGTTACGTATCATTCGTTTTTACATATTGAAAACCATTAATGGATGTTATATAAGTAATAGCAGTGCTATCACAACTTTTGTGTGACAAATCGTTCTGGCAATATGTTAAACTTTTAAACCTGTGAAAGAGTTCAGTACAGCTCTTGAAATTGAGAAAAATCCTAAAATATTCTCTGTGAGGTTATTTTAAAATACTCTGCACTAATAATAAGAGGCTAATAACTTTTCCAGAGACTTAAAGTATAATAGAGAGCATAATTTTGAATACTGATTAAATACAATTATCCTCTAATTAAATTATAATTAATCCCTTTGCACTATGATATAATT